ATAAAAAAACAAAAAAAGGGACAACTATTTAATGGAGTAGTTCAACAGTCTAAAAAATGCAAAAACAAAATAAAGGGTAAAATAGGAAAGTAAGTAATAAATATTTTTGAAAACTAAAATATCAATGATTTCCTTAAATCCCGTGCAAAACCTTAAACGACTATTAAAAAAACGGAAGGAGTATAAAAATCAATCTCAATATCCTGTCCTATACCAGGTGAATCAATATACTTCCTCTTGGATAAAGTCATGTTTTATAATTGTAAGTTCACAACACAGTTCAACAACATGTATCATGTATCGTCTCAATACAACTTAACTCAACAAATAACTTGCAACACTTTGAATAACATATAATCTAACTTTACATATTTCATATTCAACTTTCTACATGATTCACCAACATAACAACATATCACAATACAATTTTATAAAAAAAAATGAACTTATTATATCAACATATTAAGTAAAAACGTTAAACATAAAAGGCATGAAACAAGGCTTTCGCTATGTAAGCTAAGCTCCTAACTGAGTGACATTACTCTCACTTAGCAAAGAAAATGCTTTGTGACTTTCCTCGCTGGGCGAGCTTTTGGCTCGTCAGGCAGTCAAACTCATCTAGAGCTCATCATTGGGCAATTAAGAGCTCGTTGAGTGAACAAAACCAGTAACATTATGTGACTTTGTCTAGTGTTGATTAATTATAAATGATTAATTATTGCTTTGTTGTTATGATTGTTGTTTTAAGAGCTTGGAGAGCTACATGATCGTTGAGAGTTAAGTTATCTTTAAGATAGTTTTAAACAAAGTTAAGTTAGTTTAGCTTAAGGAAGGGTATATAAGATTTTTCTTAAGACATGAACCTCATAAGTTTATATTTTAAGAAAAACTAGAGAGAAGCTAGAAGAATTTCTTTATAGCCTAAAGAATTCTTTTTCATCTTCTTCTATTGAATTCTTTCTTTAACCTTTCCTACAACCAATCTGAGGTGTTTGAGTTTGAGATTCAAGCTCTCGAAGTAGGAGTCTAAAATTCAAAATCGTGCAGAATAATTTCCTTTTGTTGAATTGATTCATGCTTTGGTAAACATTGGGTTTGAATTTTTAAGGTGGAACCCTTATGTTTTTGTTCTTGGTGAATAAGGAAATATTTGGTGAATTGATTGGTTTGTTGTTGTTGCATGTCTCATTTTCTTCGATTCACAAGTTGTATGTTGTTATAGCTGGAAGACTTTGAGTTGCATGCATGTATTGTTGTATGGGATGAGAAAATTTTAGTGTTATTGAGTTTTTTTTTTTTTTTGAAGCAGCAAAAGATATTTTATTTATTTAATGGTACCAGAAGTGTAATTCATATTACAAAAAATCTGACTTGGTTAACCGTAATATAGAAATATCATATTCCAGATTACTAGACAACCAAGATTTGTGTTGTACCCCTCAAGTCTAATAGAGACCACCAGTACATGTACATATTTCAAATCCTCTTTTAGCCCCTTCATGTTTTCCGTAAACCCTAAACCCTAATTTTAGTGTTATTGAGTTGTTGCGTTCATCTTGGATTCATGTAGGTTTTTTAGGTTTGCTCACTCAAAGAGTCCAGGGGGTTGTTTAAGCGAGCAATTAAAACCATTTTAAGGGTAGTCTCTGACTTGGCTCGCTTAGAGTGCTTGATGTGAGCCCTTAGAGCAAATTTTGGTAGCTTATAGTGAGAATTCACTCACTTAGAGTAAGCTAAGCTCCTTTTTAGGGATGCTCTTTGTCTAAGCTCGCTTGGAGCTAACTATTGGGCACTATAAGAAAATTTCAGTCACTATGAGTTAGCTATTGGTAGCTCCGAGCTAGTTGTTGGGCACTTTGAGCTAGATGTTGGGTGCTTTGCGTGAATTTAGTTACTCTCCAAGCGAGCTCTAGGGCGCTTGAAGCGCCTATTTCCCTTTTTAACTTGTAATTTTCTTCACATATCTTGTTGTGTTGGTTGTTTCACATGAGGTATGATGATGATTGAAGCTAGTGCATTATATATTGATTTATGATGACGTATAATGCTAATCCAAGTTGTTTTAAAGTTGATAGTAAGTTGTATATTGGTTGAAGATGATTAAGTTGGCAAGTTGTAAGTTGATAATTGATTGAATGTTGACTAAGGTGTAAGGTATGGTGTTTATAGTTTATTAAGTTGTTTAGCTATTACACATGCGGTGAAGATACATGTCTAAGTCTAGATACATAAAAATTAGAGGAAAGTAAAGTTATCTTAAAAATTAAGATGTCCCATTCAATGGATATAAGTTGTGGTGCTTAGTGAGTTAAAGTTGAAAGTCCTTCAATAAAGAAGTTGACTTCTAAATGAATAGTTATTTTAAGTTGTCTCCTCTAGATTTTATGTGGAATCCACACGGGGCCAAGTCGAGCCATAAGTGTATAAAGTGACCAACCGAGTAAAGTATGAAGTTGATAGTTAAAGTCTTTAACTGATTGCTAGAAAGGTGTATAATATTTGGAGTGTAATCAGTGGACTAATCTCATATGAGACTTACATATGCATATTAAGGTTATGATAGACTTTCGCTTAAGTTATTCTACCTTGATAATAGTACTAGACTTTCCTAATTTAAGTGAAAAAATTTGAGAAATTAATTTAAATTTTAAGAGAAAACCTTATATACTTTCTTTTTAAATTCGATCAACTTTCACATTAACTTAAAGCAACTCTTATCTAATTATACTCATAAATATTCTTTAATTGTCATAATTTTACAATTATTAAACAACTAATCACAACATCACTTAATTAATAAAATTAATATACATAAATAATAACATATGGTACACAAAATAAAATACTAGTTATCCTTGAAACTGAATCTAACAAATTAATAGACATTCAATGCACTGTTACACATTAGTATTAAATATGTCTTTCGTAAAGTGAAATATTAAATCATTGATTAAAAACTAATGATTCATATTCTAATTTACTGTATATATATAATAAATTACGCAGCTTTTGTGTCTTATTTTAATATAATTTTTTAATTAAAAATAATAAATTAAGTTTATAATTGTTTAAATTTCAGCATTAATCAGTTTAAATTTTATTATTTAATATTTTGATTTAAAAAATAAGACATATAATCAAGTCAAATAAAATGGATTAGTCTTAATAACATGACTGATGAATGTCCCCTATAAAAGAGATCTCTACATATCTCATTATGCATGCTTACAACAAAATACGTAGTAGCTTCTTAAAAAACGATATATGTACAAAATTTAAAAAATTTGACATAAAACTATTTTTAATTTCTAAATATGTCTTTATTTTAAATTTTTAAACAATTATTATCATCATTTAATAATTAATAATATTATTCTTTATATCTAATTATGTTAGTGATGGAGAATCGGAATAACATGCATAATATTTTAGATTCAAATTCTGGTGTGTTATTATAATTTAGATAAATAGAAAATATCTATATCTATAATAAACAGTATAATGAGGAGGTATACGGTTTGACTTTTTAAAAGTGATTTGAAACATTTTGTATAAGATAATGAGAAGAGTGCTGCTATTTAGCATGAAAAATGGGCACATGAATCACACGAATAGTAAAATGAACGTTGAGAATTTGTTTAAAGTAAATATCAACAATTAGAAAATTATAAAATGGAATTTATCCAAAATCACCCTTTCGCATGTTTGTTTTTTTTAAAAATAATGAAAGTGCAATAGTAATAATTAATTATAAAATTAATTATTAATATTCTAATTATCTTTAAATTAAGTATATATTCCAACTGTTTCAATTTTTTTTATTGAAATGAAATATTTACAAAATCCCTATAAATAGGATGAAACCTTATTTTGTAAATATAAATATTTCTCTTTCTCCTTCACTTCACATGTGTGTAACATATGAGAACCAATTTTATAAAATAAATTTGAACATGAAAACTTAAAATTATGCTCCGTGTTAATAATAAAATAATTTACTCATATCAGTAAATAATTATAATAATAATAAAAATTGAACCCAAATTTTTATAAATCTATTATTAATCCTTTTTCACCCCATCTTTTATAATTCTTAAATAATTGTTGTTTGTCTGAACTTCTCTTTCTTTCCTTTTTATTTTTTCTAATTTTCACGAGAAAAACCGTCATTCATACTTAACACAAATAGGAAAGCATTAAATTTTCAAATGATTATTCCTTGGTACTACAACAGAAAAAAGTGAATATTTTAATACAAAAATACTTGTTTACATTATACAGAAAATTCTCACTTTTGAATTTAGAATAAATTTATTTTGATTTCTTAAATATAAAATTATTATTTTATTTTTTATATTTTTTTAAAAATCTTATTTTAATCTCTCGTATAATCAATAACATATTTAAAAATGATATATTAAGAAAATTATATAGTATCAACTAGATTTTTTTTATAATCCAAATAATTAAAATTAAAAGAAGTACAAGAGGTACTCCAATCTATTACAAAAATATCATATGTGATATATGTATTATGGATCACTAAAAACACTGTTCCAAACTAGGAATTTAAGTTAGTTCATCATATCCAACTCACAACTTTAAAATAAAAATTGCAGAGATTTCTCCAATAATCTTATTTACCACTTGAATATATCTACCTAGGTAAGGCTAGCTGTTAGATTCATGGACAAAAAATAAAATTATACCTAAATTTTTTATGTCTTATTCTTAACTAGTTCCAGGTTCTAATTTTAACTAAATCTATCATCTCTAATACAGATATTTTAAAAAAATACTAAGCGACTGGTTCGTTTATTATTACATAAAATTGCACATTTTTTTTTCCTTTTTATCCTTTATTGTTACATGAAGAATATGTATTTTTTTATATATCATGGGTCAAAATAGTGATCCTTGGTAGCAAGTGAGAAGTGAAAAAGTAAAAGTAAATATTAAATAATAATAATTATTATAGAAGTATACTGTAGAGTGAGAGAAGAAAGAGAAAGCTTGGAAATGTAGCAACGATGACCCCATTGGTATTGTCTAGCACAGGTGTGGAACCGAAAGCCGTCGTATCTTCCATTCTCCGCCAAACATCCAACCACTCCTAACAACCACACCAACATTTCAATTAGGGTTCCAATTCCAATTCCAATCCCAATCCATCACCATGGACGACGCTGAAGACCCTTCCTCTCTCTGGGACTTCTCCTACCTCCTCGACTTCAACCTAGACGAAAACGACAACTCGCTCTCTCTCCCCTTACCCGACCCTCCCCCCGAGATCCCCAACGACAACAAGGTCCGAAAGCGCGACCCCAGACTCACCTGCTCCAACTTCCTCGCGGGTCGGGTCCCCTGCGCCTGCCCCGAACTCGACGCCAAGCTCGACGACGTCGGTTTGCCCGCCAAGAAGCGCCCCCGCGCCTCCGCCTCCGCCTCCGCCCGCTGCCAGGTCCCCGCCTGCCAGGCCGACATCTCCCAACTCAAAGGCTACCACCGCCGCCACAGAGTCTGCCTCCTCTGCGCCAATGCCGCCACCGTCCTCCTCCACGGCGAGGCCAAGAGATACTGCCAGCAGTGCGGAAAGTGCGATTCCTCCGCTGCTTAGTTACTTGCTCCTCATATTATGCTTCAATTCCATCATAGTTATATTGTTTCTTCGTAGGTTTCACGTTTTATCGGATTTCGACGAGGGTAAACGCAGCTGCAGAAGGAAATTGGAGCGCCATAACACCAGAAGGCGAAGGAAGCCTCCAGCAGATTCCAGTGGTGATGCGCTTAACGAAGCTGAGCCTGCTAGTGCTAATCAAAACGAAGAAAACAATTGTGATGTCGATGCACAAAAAGGTGAGTGTTCGGTACTACTCTCGCGATCCCTGCTATTGTGGGAAATTGCGGTTACGATTGCAATTCTGTAGTGGAGATCACAGAAACTTTGACGTCGTTTGTTTTTCTCCATTTTTCTATTATTTTCTTCATGTGGCATGTGATTAATTATTCCACTAGGAATGGAAATGATGTTGGTCACTGTGTTACAAGAATGCTTACTGTCTGCGTAATTGTGTGTGCACCGTACAGATGGTTCAAATTTGAGTGCCGAGGTCAATGAAAAAGGAGTGTCTCCAGATCCTGAAGATGATGAGCCAGTACCCATTCCGGGCTCGGCTCCTGATGCCCAAAATATTAACAATGATACTGTTGTGTCCTTGGCTGTTTCTGGTGATACGCGAGTGAATAGTGGGAACACTTCTAATTCGCCTTCTTATTGTGACAAGAGTGCCTATTCATCCATGGTGGGTTGTTCTTATTGTTTATTTGTTTCTGTTGTAAATGTATGTTGTTGTTCTGGAAATTGTGGTTAATGTTTACTGATTGAAAGTTTTCTTGTAGTGCCAAACAGGTCGGATTTCTTTTAAGCTTTATGATTGGAATCCTGCGGAGTTTCCTAGAAGGCTACGACACCAAGTATTTTAAAGCATTGTTATTGCAGTTTAGTATTTAAATAGTGGCTAGATCTTCTGCCGTGTACATGCGAGCAACTGATTAACAGGCAGCCAAATGCATTTGCAGATATTCCAATGGTTGGCAAGTATGCCTTTAGAGTTGGAGGGATATATCCGTCCTGGTTGTACGATCCTGACAGTTTTTATTGCAATGCCTAACATTATGTGGATAAATGTAAGGGTTCAACTTGATGTTCTTTACATTTCGGGTTCTTGTGTCATGTTTAATTGGCCTTATTACTGGTCACCTGCTCCAATATTGGTCTAATGGACTGTATGGTTCTTTGTTCTGCTCATTAATCTTGGCAGTTTTTGTGATACATACTCTCTCTTTTAATTTTATGACACTAGAATTTCATACTTATATTAAAAAGCAAGAATGTCTGTTTCAAGTTTTTACTGAATTTGATTTGTTCATCCTTTTTTTTTTTTTTTTTTTTTTTTTTATTTCTTTTTTTTTTTTTTTTTTTTTACTGTGGTTTAGGTGAACATGCAATGCTATTACATAATTTATATTGAGTGAAGCTCTACTTAGCCATCGTAAATGTTTT